CGTGCTGTCAAACCTACACTAGCAAGGAGATCGGGCTGAAACTATAGCTACAAGCTATCCAAGGATGGTACTATAGAATGTCACCTCAAGGTAGGCCTAGTGGCGTCATCTCTTGGTTAGGCCGGAAACTTATCAATCCACCCTCGTACTTTTAGAGGCGAGACACGGTAAGCAACTAATTTAAAACGTTAATAGTACCTTTTTCTGCTGCTTGGAATTAGGAAACCAGAATGAATTATTCAAAAATCAAGAGTAGAGTATTAAGAAATTACTCTCTCATGGATCTATAATTTACCATGTGGCCGCGTCAAAAGTGAACTCTACTCTAGTTAAAGATAGATATATGTATTTAAAAGTAAAGCACCTTGCTCGCGTTGTCTTTTCCTACCGATTTTTCCGAAGAAAATGAATAAAAACTGAAATTAAAGAGACAATTTATAATATACACGAGTTGAAGAAGGAATTAAGTTAGAAACATGGAGTCATTCGAGATAAATATTTTGGAATAAATGTAAAGCACAAAGTGTATATATCAAGAGAACAAAACAACATTCAACATAAAAAACATTTCCGGTTGCAGTCCGAATTGCAGAAGTTTAGTGAAAAGTGGCATACTTATGAAAACAAAGTCCACTGTGAAAAAAAAACATTACTCTATTGCTATTAAAAAAACACATACAATTAATTCCCTCATTAAATAATTTTCTATTGATATTGTACGTAATAAGTGAGTATTTCAGGTTTTTCTGTATAAAGTAGTAGTACATAATCCATGTATAAATTATTCAAAAGCAAGTTCAAGCACAACAGTTCCGTACCAAGGTCAATGTCAAACAAAGACTTCACATATTATTTGTATTTATTAGTGTTCAACCAAGCAAAGAAATTCATACGAAAGTAAATTAGCTGTTTGCATAAAAAAAATATGCTATAATTGCTATGTATCGTTTTATACGATATAGCCAACAACAATAAAAATAATTATAAATAAAATAAATTCCAAAAAAGCCCCAAAAATTACCAAGTTTAATTCACTTTTAAAACCTCTCAAAAAAAAAAATGTAAAATGCGAATTTGTTCCGTTTAGGCTGCTGCAAATTTGTATATAAAAAGTAACGCATTTGGACAATTTTTAAAGGAGTTACAGCGGTTTAAACATTTAATTGTTTAAAAAAACAATGAAAAAATAGATAAATTCTTTTTTTTTCTGAAAAGATAGTTTAACCGATTAAGATAAGTTACGAACCGATTAAATTATCAATTTTAAACTTTTAATAATTATTTTGAATTTTTTAAAAATTTCCGCGAATTTTGAGG